TTTTTTTTTTTTTTTTAAAGTAAACTCTACACCCAATTAGGGGTTTGGACTCACAACCCCCAGATCAAGAGTCATACGCTCAAGGGTGCCTGGGTGGCTTAGCTGGTTGGGCATCTGACTCTTGATTTCTACTCAGGTCATGGTCCCAGGGTCATGGGATCGAGCACCGTGTTGGGCTTCACACTGAGCGTGGAGTCTGCTCAAGATTTTTTTCTCTTTCTCTCTCTACCCCTCTCCCCTGCTTGTGTGTGTGAGCTCTTAAAAGAAAATGAATCTTAAAAAACAAAACAAAACAGTTGCACACTCTACCTACTGAGGCAGCCAGGTACACCAAGTGTGATCTGAATTTTTAAAAGGAAGCTATTCACTGTTTATATAATTTAAAAAAAACACTTAACACTTTTCCTTTTTAAAAAACCAACAGGGGGGCGCCTGGGTGGCGCGGTCGGTTAAGCGTCCGACTTCAGCCAGGTCACGATCTCGCGGTCCGTGGGTTCGAGCCCCGCGTCAGGCTCTGGGCTGATGGCTCAGAGCCTGGAGCCTGTTTCCGATTCTGTGTCTCCCTCTCTCTCTGCCCCTCCCCCGTTCATGCTCTGTCTCTCTCTGTCCCACAAATAAATAAAAACGTTGAAAAAAAAAATTAAAAAAAAAAAAACCAACAGGGTCTTAACCAGTGACTGCCCTCCCTCCTGAAAAAAAGAAAAGAATTTTACATCATCCAGCAAATGAGTGATTCTGGACATATTCTTACTCCTCAGACACTCACAAATGCATTCCATTTTAAGGTTTACTCTACAAGTAAATAAAAATACTGTTTGTTTTTAAGTAGCATTCCTTAAAAAATCGAATGTGAATCACAGATAACCTAAAGAAATACAACTAGTTTAAGACTCAAAACAGCATCTAAGGTGGCACAGCTCTCTCTGCAAGTCTAATGACAGCTATGGACTTTCTACGGAAAATGCCCATACACCAGAATTGTACCCATAATTCCAGGCAGCACACAGACCTTCTGACCAGTTCCCTCAGAGACCTTAGGTTAAGATCCTGTTCTCTGTGTAGGCACACTAACGAGGCAATCTCTGTGTAGGCACACTAACGAGGCAATCTGATAAGAGGCAATGTCCTTTGCCTTACTGGAGCCTGGGATCCTGTTTTCATTCAATCTTTGGAACGGTGATTAAGTGTGAACTCACTTCCTACAGTTCTAGGCTCAAATGTCACCCTGGAGGTACTACCCTCGTGACCCCATTAAAAGTGGCAGTACCCTCACTTCTAGGACTCCTTTATCCCCACTTTATTTTTCTCTACAGCTTATTTCTTCATTGTCTGCTAGTAAGTGTCATGACCACAGCAACTGTGCATGCTCATGGGAGTGTCCTTTCACCACTGTATTCCAGCACCATGGACAGCGCCTGCCTGGCACAAGGTCCTGCTCCATAAATGTTTACTGAAACAAACGCACATTAAGTAGAAATGGGTGTTCTCAGTGTCCTTACCTGCAGAGGTGTCATTCCCAGCTCATGTCCACTTCTTCCCTGAGCGATTTTGGATAAATCGTTTACGAGGCGCTCAAAAATGTTAGCAGCATTTAAATCACAGTCGTAGTTGACGTAAATATCTACAACACACTGGGCATCTTGGAAAATAACACACAGATATTAGAAATTCTGATCAAACACACACAGCAGTTACATTTTCTTATCACATGAGATTCCTTTTATAAAAATGCTTCCCTGTAAACTACGGACTCGGGTGGACACACCTCCCTCAGGAAAAGTGTGTCAGACGTTCTAGAAGTCGGGAGGCCCGCTTTCCAGGCCTGCCTCAGCACCGACTGAAATCTCAGGCATCCCATTCCACCTCTCCAAGGCTCACTCTCCTCAAAAGAAGTAATGATTGCCTGATCCACCTCTTAAAGTTATGTAACTAATGAAATCATGCTTGATGACAGACAAGGGGGGGCTTGATTGATAGCCCCACAACTGTGCGTTCATAAGGTAAATCCAAATTTACCTTAGCATCCAACCAGGGGTTAGCAGCACCAACACCTTGGGTCCTGTGACTAACAAACTGTTCAGTTTGTAGGTAGAGTGACCAAGTCTCCTAGTTTGGCAGGATGATGGGGTTTCCCACGATGTGGGACTTTCTATGCTAAGACCACAAAGTGCCAGGCAAACCGGATTGAGCTGGTCATCCTCTAAGGGAGAGTGGGGCAGGACTAGACAGTACGTTAGCAGTAGCCTTTAAGGTAAGGATTTCCCAGCACTGCATTAAAACTGTAACAGCATAAAGTAAAGGGCTCAATCTGGATTCTGGAAAATGAAAGCTTCAGAAGCATTTCTGGGTAAGTCAATGGATGAGCACACCCTCAGGGTGAAAATACCTGCACAGATCCTTGTCAGAGTCTGAATGACCATCCACCTGTGCTCAAAAGAACTTGTTGATGTTTCTAAAATGTTCAGGAAAATCTCTTTGAAAAAGACCTACATGGCATGGAGACAAAGGAGGACACCAATTAATCCAGTTTAAATTAGGGCTCAAAAACCCCAAAGGCTTTAGGGGATAGGCAGAGCGAAGCAGCCTGGGCAGAAGTAGCAGAGCAATGCACACTCGCACTGCTGAGGCGCACTGGAGCCCCGGCCTCCCGTGGGAACGGCTAGTGGGGTGGGGTGGGCCCACAGTGACCTGGAGAACATGGGCCCCACCGGAAACAGGACCAGCTGCTCCTGAGCAACGAGTGAGAGGAGCTGCCAGGCACAGTTATGTGCACGAAGTTCTGATTTTGAGAGAAACCAGAAATCTGCATTTTCACGTAAAATCTGACTTCTCGATTTGCCAACTATTTCAGGTTATTTCAAACAATTTATAGGCTAAACAAACATGTTCAGGGGACTGAGTCCAGCATACAGACCATTTGATTTAAACTTCTGGTTAAAATGAAACGCACGCAAGATTCTGGGGCAAGGACTTTTAGGAAAAAGTACTCTCTTGCTCATTCAAAAAGTCCTTCTTTGGGGTGCCGGCAAGTAGACTGTGTAACTCTAGTTCCTGGAGACTGTGTCACCAGGGGTTAACTGAGTGTAAGCGTCACCATCATTAAAAAAAAAAAAGTCATTTCAGAGCCCATACCTCTATCTGCATTTTCAAGTGCATTTTAAAGTTTGAGAGAAGAGTAAGAAAAATGGCAAGAGAGAGCTCAAAGACATCAGGCACTGAAGAGACGCCGTTTTTGGACAACGCCACACAGAGATACTGCTTGATTGCGTTGATGAACATCTCATGAGTCCTGAAGACGGGGCCCGCGTTCTGCAGCACGGACAGGAGCAGCTGCAGGGAGACCACCTTGGAGCGCAGCTCGTGGGATCTGGGACAGAAAGTGAGAAACGGTGACGGCGCTACAAGATTTCCATTTCAAGAAGCATGTTTCTTGACAAGGCTTTGCTTCTCTACCAGTGGGTAGCGTTTTCTGAGAGCCAGTGAGTTAAGGATTGTCACCTGCACCTCAATGCCAAGAGAGTGAGGGCAGATGGCATGAGGTGGGCCCTCCCAGAGGACTGTGAGAACAGGAACTGCCAACTCCTGCTTTTTTTCTCTCCCTGCCAAAAATAGGGAATACAGCAGGAGCAAAATAAGTGTAAACTGACTCCAGAAAGCTGGTTCTACAGCTAACCTAATAGAATCAATTACTTTACATTATACATGTGAAACTAAACGTGTGTCCTGCTCCATGTTTATGGACAATGCAAACAGGGCTCTTTATCCACCTGTCTCCTGCTCCCCACCACCACCCACAGGGCTGCAGAGAAAGGGAAATTTTCCTGAATCATCTCCTTAATGGTCATCGTGTCTCAACAGAAAAGCTGAAGATTATTATTGGCAACTAATAATAACAGTGACTATAAAACTCATAAAGCGCAGGGCCCTTGCACTCAGGATGCGATTACATCATCTCATGTAATTGATCCTGCAAGGCAATTTTCCACATTCCCATTTTTTCAGATGAGGTTCAGTAATTCATATGGCTGTGGAGTTGGTCTCAAGCGAGCTAGGAGGGAATGCAGCTTTCTGGCTCCAAAGGGCTATCATCCTTGCAGTAACTTGTTCACTACAAAGAATGTTTTGGCTTCTCTGGGTTGAATCTGAGTCTTAAATCTGTACTCAGGGAAGCAGAGGTTTCCAATGAGGGCAGGGAAGTGAGGTTTGTACACATCCTGCCTCTGCCCACCCCGCACTAGATCAAATTCATTAGTTAGGAAACAGAGGGGGCACATTCAATATAATGACTATTTTTCACACACAAACCAAGGAAAGCAACACCAGGCAAAATCTTGGTTGGTGTGGGCACAGAGACAACACATTATGAAAGGGCTGTCGGGACACCAGGAATGTGGAAAGCTGTAAATTCCTGCATTTGCAGCAACCATGGGAGAAGGCACTGAGATTTTTTTGGAACCCCCAAGATCCTCCTGGGTTATCTGAGTTATGTTATACACAGTCAAGAACTGCTGTCCGCTTACTTTGGATCTGGGGGGCCTTCACCAAGGGGCTTCATGGACAGCTTGCAAAGGGAGCGAAACACCAGGAAGGCATCCTTCTGGAGAATGTGAGAGAACCTAGCGGCCACCTGATGTCCCTGTGCATCTGATTCCTGAGATTAGAAACAAATAAGAGAAAAATCAAACCGTCAAAGCCAAATAAGAACTCTTCTCAAAAATAAGAAATATAATTATCTCATGGAAATCAAAATTTTTTTATTTATTCAATGGGGGAACTGAGGAATGTGGGGAAGGGGACAATATGTCAAAATAGGAGCGATAGGGGAGTCATTATAGCAATTCTAAAACCTTGTTCCTTGTCCTTTAAAAAGTGGGTATGGATGACTTAATGATAAATGAGCAAACATAAAACCATTAAAAATCTAAGACAAATACAGTTGACCCTTGAACACGGGTTTGAACTGCACGGATCCACTTATCTGCAGATTTTTTTCGATAAATACAGTACTGTGAATGTATTTTTTTTCCTTATGATTTTGTTTTCTCTAGTCTATTGTTAGGAATATAGTATATAATACATATATATGAAATATGTGTTAATCAACTGTTTATGCTATGGGTAAGACTTCCAGTCAACAGGTTAGTAGTAGTTAAGTTTTGGGGGAGTGAAAAGTCATATGCAGATTCTCGGCTGCCTGCCCCTAGCCCTGGCATTATTTAAGGGTCACGTGTATAAGTAATTCTATTAGCTTGGATAGCAGTATTTCTAAGAACGCTATTGCAGGGTAATAGGGGAAAATGACAGGCATCTTAAAATATACTTCTTTAACTAAAAAGACTATATTTAAAAATTAAAAAAGTATTTGTAACATACAACAAAGATTAATACGCTCAACATACAAAAAGTTGTTATAATTCATTAAGGAAATACAGAAACCTTCCACCGAAATGAAAAGCAGGCAAAAAAAACATGAACAAGCAATTTACCAAGAAATGCAAATGACAGATTCACCTAAATAATCTTACTACTGATTATTAAGGCAGGATCTTTCTCCCAACAGACTAGCAAAATTCTGAATGAATTCTATTGCCCGGTTTTAATGAGGGAATGGGGAAATGAGCACTGATAGCCTACAGGTGGGCAGAAATTTGAGCATTACCTTCCCAGCAGGCTAATGTGATGTTAAGGAACAAAAGCCTTAAAGCTTCCAACTCGTGACCCAGCAATATCACTTGTAGGAATTTATCCTAAAGAAAGAATTAAGGACGTGCACAAGATTTATCTACAAGGATGTTCATTATAGAACCATTTCCTGTGATAAAACTGAAATGACATAAAAACCTAATGGGGAATTGGTAAAATAGATTATGGTAATCTATATGACAGAATTTTACATGACCACTTAAAAAATTTGTTAGGTCTATACGTACTCATGTGGAAAGATGTCCATAAAACAGTGCTGAGTGAACAAAGTAAGTCACGGCCTGGTATACAAGGCATGTGTCCTCATATAGATTTAAGTACATCCCTGTTAGTGCATCCTTTCTTAATGGAAATGACATAATCCCATGGGGACTGCAATAGACTGAATGCTTATGCCTCCCACCCCCATTCATAAACTGATATCTAATCACCAAAATGATGGTATTTGAGGGTGGGGACTTTGGGAGGTGATTATATCGAGAGGGTGGAGTCCTCATGAATGGGATTAGTGTCCTTATTAAAGAGGCCCAGAAAGCTCTGTAAGCTCAGTAAGACGACAGCCATTAGTAAATCAGGAAATGGGCCCTCACCAGACACCAAAACTGCTGGTACCTTGATCTTGGACTTCCTAGCCTCCAAAACTCTGAGAAGTAAATTTTTATTGCTTATAAACCACCCAATCTATGCTATTCTGTTATGGCAGTCCAAACAGACTAAGACTGGGACAGGTATTGGTACTTGGTGGAAGGATGGGGGGCGGGTTGAAAAAAATCTTATTCTTTTTATGTATAAAGCACAGACACACACATAATACATAAACAGATATCCAGTCTATCAGTGGCTTTATTTTTTTTTTTTTTCAACGTTTATTTATTTTTGGGACAGAGAGAGACAGAGCATGAACGGGGGAGGGGCAGAGTGAGAGGGAGACATAGAATCGGAAACAGGCTCCAGGCTCTGAGCCATCAGCCCAGAGCCTGACGCGGGGCTCGAACTCACGGACCGTGAGATCGTGACCTGGCTGAAGTCGGACGCTTAACCGACTGCGCCACCCAGGCGCCCCTATCAGTGGCTTTAAAATTCATGAAAGGGGGTGGTAAGTCAGAAAAAGGAATATATAAAAAGGCTTGGGGGTGCTAATAATGCAAAAGGTTGAGAAACACTAGTAAAAAGGTAAAGGCAGTGGGTTCAGGTGGGATGTTAACATCATATCTCTCCCTGTTTTGAATGCTTACATACAGCATTTTCAAGAGAACAACAAAGCTATTAAAGAAAAATAATATGGCAGACAGATCTAGGAGTCTGAAAGATGTTCGTAACACACATTAAGTTTCAAAAGTAGGTTACAAAACAGCATGTATCTTTTGTGATTACATCTAACTGAAAAAAAAATATGAGAAGGGGAGAAAAATCTAGAAGGATGTAAGTAAAATGTTGCCAAGTGTTATCTCTAGGTTAGGGGATTATAGATGACTTTTACTTCCCTATGTTTCCTCCTCGGTATTTTCTTATTCTTCTGTAATGAATGTATATTAAAGGAGAAGAAAAAGGGCACGAAATCTAAGTTTTTACAAGTCTGAACAACCAGCGTTAACAACAATGTCCTATACAACCAACAGTAACACATTCCGAGAATGGAACCTACTAATACAAAGCGTATCAGGCCAGGACTGTGTGACTAGCTGAACAGGGGTTGCTGGTTTTCACTCGCTTCTTCTGCTAGAGATTTAAATCTGCATCTTCTAAAAAAGGAAACTTCGAGACGCATCTGTATGGGAGGATCACCAGCATACCAGATTATCCGCTGATGACAAGGACTGCCTGTCGTCCGCTATCCCGTTGGTCTGTGAATCTTCATCAGCTGCTGGGGGCACAGCACACTCCTGGCACTCCATTTCACCTGGGACCCTCTCAGGTTCTGTCAGACGGTGCTTTTGTGCTGCTTCTTAAAACACAGGTGCAGAAGTCATCACCAAATTAGTACTTGGTCTAAAAGGCGGCCTGACCCCAGGAAGAAGTTATTCACATGATTTGCCAGCTCCTGCTTTTTCCCTTTTCCCTTCGCACTACCTTAAGAACTGACACAATACCGAAAAAGGCTTGGCCAAAGCAGTGCTTAGAGTTTACATGTGTCCGTTATCCACAGTCCCATTCCCTGGAGGTTTCATTCATACCACAGTCCATGTCAGTGGTGTCTCTAGAATTGAGCAATACAGCAGCCTACCCACCCCTGTCCACTTCTGGAAAAGGTTAGAAGCAGCTAAAACTGCAAAGCACAGATTTTTGTTTTTAAAGGGGCTACTAATATAGGTGTTAAAGAAGAGCCATATAAATAATAAAAAGAATTTGATAGTTATGACAGGAGACCTTAGTCATGGAGTGGAGGGAGAGGGGGACCCAAAAAAAAAAAAAAAAAAAAAAAAAAAAAAAAAAAAAAAAAAAAGACCTGAGCTTCCTGGCAGCCATGTGAAAAGGGAAAGATAAAGAATTAAAACTATTCTATTTTACTTTTTTTAATTTTTAAATGTTTATTCATTTATTGAAATAGAGACAGAGCATGAGTGGGGGAGGGGCAGAGAGAGAGACAGAGACACAGAATCCGAAGCAGGCTCCAGGCCCTGAATTATAAGCACAGAGCCGATGCGGGGCTCAAACCCACAAACCATGAGATCATGACCTGAGCTGAAGTTGGATGCTCAACCAACTGAGCCAACCAGGCACCCCAAAACTATTTTATTTTAAAGACATTTCTACCAGAGTGTACATTTTTATGTTCTATTAATTTAATTCTACATTACATAAATAATGAATTCTATGAATACAGATTGGTGGTAACCTAAATTAACAAAAGGACAGGGCTTAGAGCAGTGTATCAAACTTCTTTGACCATGACCCTCAGCAAGAAATGCATTTTAATGGCTTGCCTGGGTGGCTCAGTTGGTCAAGTGTCTGACTTCAGCTTGGGTCATGAGCTCAAGGTTCTTGGGCCCAAGCCCTGCGTCTGACTCCACGCTGGCAGTGCCGAGCTTTCTTCGGATTCTCTTTCTCCCTCTCTCTGTTCCTCCCTCCAACACGTATGTGTGTGCGTGTGTGTGTGCATGTGGGCTCTCTCTCTCAAGGTAAAAAAAAAAAAAAAAAAAAAGACCCAGTACACATGTGCATATAATAACTGAAGCACGTTTCATGAAACAGTGCTTAACATTACCATCGTGATGTATTCAGTTTCTGTTCTATTTTCATTTTATTCTCTCTCCTTTAAGAAAGGCTGATTGTAACCCCTGCTAAGTTAATGATTTCTCAATCCACTAATGGTTTACTGCCCCTGGAACCAAGTGTTCAACACATAGACACTGACGTAAGATTTGGGGCAAAAACAAAGAAAAAACTCATCCAACAGTCATTCTGAGCTGTACAAGTTTAATTCCACCAAAACCACACCATAAAACAGAGAGCGCTATGAGTGAAGACTAACAAAACAAAGGTTCCCTGTGCATCTGATACCCACTGACGTGATACATCAATGGTTGGCCATGAACATTCAGCAGCATCTCAGGACTCCCAGCCACTCCTGGGGAAAGCTGGATATATATGGGAGTGGCTTTCTGTCTTTCGTGTGGAGCGCCCAATTCTAGCACCGTCAGACTGTGCTTTCTGAACTCTGAACCTGGCCCTAGTAAGAATAAAATTAATCACTAAAAAGAAGTAATTTCTGAGTTCCACATGAAAGATGGGCAGATACAGGCAGACTCAGTTTCCATGACTTCACCGAGGGCGGGCACTCCACCACTAAAATTATCTGCCCAAGGACTTTTTTGGAGGAGTGTGTAGGAAGAAAGGCTGGGCTCTTGGTTCTTACCTTTAACAGCAGATGTGACCACATCTTCTAAGATCTCCTTGACCACCTCCTGGGCTCCGTCATCAGTCCCTACACACACCCAGAGACATAAACAAATACATATGGGTATTTCCAGGGAAAGCAAAGGAAGGGGCAGAAGGTCACATCTCAAAAGGCAAAGGGGTCAAACGAGTCCTCTCCAAAGCCAAATCGGATTATGCCAATGAAAAACAAGTCCTGTGCAATCTGGAAACTCTCAGGCAGTGTCTGCCATGACTTTGAGTTTCCTTTTGTGGATCTCTCTTCCTTCTTAAGTCACAGCTATGCGGTCAAGGGCCCTCTCCACCACCCCAGAGTTTGAGGCAGGAGCCGCATCTCATCCAGCTATGCTGCTCAGCAGAACAAAAGACAGGGCTTTCTCTTGTGCTTTCACATCCAGTACCCCAGGGCCTTGGGAAGTGACATGCCCCCTGCTGCCTCTACTCCCCCACACTCTGACCCCAGAACTCAGCATGAGACTTCTAATGTGGTGAGGATTTAGTAAATTTTAAGTAAAATTATTCTGTACACTGTTAATACTTAAGCAAAGAGCTTCAGCACCGATTGTTCTAAAACTAGTTTTGGGAGAACTAGTAAACAGTTCTGGACTTGACTTTTAGTCTTCTCAAACATCACACTGCCTTCTCACACATCACACTGACCAAAACTTAACAGAGCTAAAATACCCCTTTAAATTCTTCCTCAATGAGGACTTTCAATCAAGCCCTTATTTTTATGAGTTCTGTGCTTGGCCCAAAAGGTCCTAGAGAACAGCACAATGTATTTTCATTTCCACTGAGCACCTGACCCACCCAAACTATTTATTTGCTCCCCCTCCCCGACCACACACACATGCCCCAAGCTTTACGGAGGTACGACTGACGAATGAAACTACATAATAAGTATGTAAATGGCTAAGTAAATCTCTGGAAAACGTTGATGTTGTGTACCCTTTTCTTAGAGGGCAAAAAAGAACTTGAATGAAAGCAAGTCCAGAGCCGCAGTGACAACCTCCTGTACCCACGTCTTCATCTAAACAAGATGAGTTAGACTAGCTCCACGTGTGACATACTTCAGGCATTATTGTACCACCTTTGCCATTTTCACACATCACTCGTATCAGTATATTACACGTGTACATTTAACAGTGCTCTTTACATTAACTCACCTTAAACAAGAATATTCACAAAACCGCAGGTTTCATGCACTAGTTATATTTTCTGAATGCATGTTAAAATAAATGTGTAACTATTAAAATAAAAACTGTTTACGCATGAGCCACCTAAAATCACCTCATCTACATGTGACAAGATGTTTCCAAGTTCCTTCCCAGTTCCAACATTCTCTGATGCTATATGTGCTGCTCCCCGCCACCCCCACCACAACCAAGCTTCACTGAGGTATAAGCGACGATTAAGACTTGTATATACTTGGGGCACCTGGGTGGCTCAGTTGGTTAAGCATTCAACTTCGGCTCAGGTCACGATCTCGTGGTTTGTGCGTTCGAGCCCTACGTCAGGCTCTGTGCTGACAGCTCAGAGCCTGGAGCCTGCTTCGGATTCTGTGTCTCCCTGTCTCTCTGCCCCTCCCCTGCTCACACTCAGTCTCTTTCCTTCTCAAAAATAAACATTAAAAAAAAAAAAAAAACCCAAACCTTGTATATACTTAAGGTATACAACTTATGATTTGATATACATATACATTGTGAAATAATCACTACAGTCAAGCTAATTAACGCATCTATCACCTCACACAGTTACCATTTTCTTCCTTTTCTGTGTGTGGTGAAAACACGTAGACCTACACTCAGCAAAATTTCAAGTATACAACACAGTATTGTTAACTATGTTTATACTGTTGGCATCTTGCACCTCCAGAACTCTGCCCCTTACATAACTGAAACTCTGTACCCCTGACTAGTACCTCCCCATTTCTCCAACCACCATTCTACATTCTGTGTCAATGACTCTGACTACTCTAGGCACCTCATCTATGTGGAATCACACGGTATTTTTCCTTTTTTTTTTTTTTTTTAAATGTTTTGGTTTTGAGAGAGCGCAAGCAGGGAAGGGGCAGAGAGAGGGGGACAGAGGATCTGAAGCAGGCTCTGCGCTGAAAGCAGCGATCCCAATGTGGGGCCCTAAGTCATGAAATGGGAGATCATGACCCGAGCCCAAGTCAGACACTCAACTGACTAAGCCACCAAGGTGCTCCCAGCAGTATCTGTCCTTTTGTGACTGGCTTATTTCACCTAGCACAATGCCCTGTAGATCCATCCATGTTGTTACAAACATCAGGATTTTCTTCTTTTTTAAGGTGGAATGGTATTCCAGTGTGCGCGTGCATGCGTGTGTGCGAGCGTGTATGTATGTCTGCACTTTATCCATTCATCTTTTGACATTTAGATTATTTCTGTATCTTGGCTATTATGAATAATGCTGAAATGAACACGGGAGCGCAGATGATCTCTTCGAGATCCTGATTTCATTTCCTTTGGAGATATACCTAGAAATAAAACTTCTGGGTCATAAAGTAGTTCTATTTTTAATTTTCTGAGGAACCTCCATACTGTTTTCCTTATGAGCCGTACTGATTTACATTCCCGCCAACCGGGCACAAGGACTTCCTTCTCTCCACACGCTCACCTAGCTCTTGTCTTTCACCTTTCTGATAACAGCCATTCTAACAGGTGTGAGGCGATATCTCATTGTGGTGTTGATTTGTATTTCCCTGATGATTAGTGAAGCTGAGCACCTTTTTAAGTATCTATTGGCTACTTGTATGTCTTCTTTTGAGAAATATCTATTCAGGTTCTTTGTCCATTTTTCAGTGGGTTATTCAGGGTTTTTTTTGTTTTTGTTTTTGTTTTTTTTGCTGAGTGGTATAAGTTCCTTGTATATTTTAGATATTAACTCCTGATCAGATATATGGTTTGCAAATAGGTTCTCCCATTCCACAGGATGCAGTCAAACTCCACTGGTTGTTTCATTTGCTGTGCTTATGCACTGTTTTTTTTTTTTTTTTTTTTTTTTTTTTTTTTTTTTTTTTAATTTTTTTTTTCAAACGTTTTTTATTTATTTTTGGGACAGAGAGAGATATGCACTGTTTTTAAAAACAGCTGAATTAGCTGTGAACATTTAAGAACTGGGAGACATGTCATAAAAATCCAGATGTGGCTTCAGAAAAATTATCTGGCAACATCAGGCCACAGTGGCTGGACCCAGGAGTAACTGCCCCCTTTAGCCAGGGTGTGAACTCTGCAGATGTCCTGGTGCCTCGGTCCTTGCCAAGGTCAACGGTCCTTCATCCACTGAGGACAGGTGCCATCACAGTCAGCAGGAATGTGACACATGTCTGTCAAGAGTGCGGAAAAAGGGAGACTGACGGGGCTGGGTATTTGAAAGACATCAGAGAGACAATGTTCCCTTGTGGAAGTGACTTCAACACGGTAAGGAGGAGTGAAGGCTCTGGAGCCAGTGTGTCTGGTTCAGGTCCCCACTCTGCCACTTCCCAATGTGGGGACTTAGGTCACTTGACCTGCTCGAGCCTCAGTTCCCTCAGGAGCGAACAAGGACGATTTCCACAGCACTTACCTCTGGGGCCTCGTGAGAATTCAATAAAAATAATACCCAGAAAGCATTTCAAATGGCGCCTGGAGAGTGAGGAGCGGAAGGTTCATTTTTCTTAGGCCTGCAGAGTGTGACTGTGGTAAGATGCTCATAAGGTGCCCTCAGGACAGAGGACGTCTCATCTCTGTCATCTGCCTGGCCCTGGAGACTAAGTCCATACTGAACTTTCCCAACTAACCACGCGGAAAGCGGTTTCAGTTACTTCAAGCCATCACTATCTTTCATTCTAAAGAATGTCCATTTCTACAGGGATCTTCCTCTTCCCTCACTGCAGTTTTCCACTTAAACAGCATCAGGCCCACCATTATTTGGAGGGATAACGGTGTTTAACTCATTTTCCTCAATAGGCTGGATCCATAATGGCACCTGTCAAAATATTCTCAGGCTAGGAAGGGGTGGGAGACGCAGGAAGCCCTAATTCCAACAGAAGGTTCCTGCACAGGGAGCTGCTGCTGAAGAGTCCCCAGAGAGGCCCAGAAGTAGCAGGACTTCCCACAGTACCCCTGGACTGCTTCATGTCAGCCTGGGGTAGGTCTCAGGAGAGGCCTTTCTGGATGACATAATAACCACTGAGAAGTCTGCTGTTTTAACTTTCAAGCATGCTGTCAAAATGTTAGGAAACCAAATCAAATCAAATCAAATCCTTGGAAGGTTCAGAGTATACATAAACACTCCGGTTTTGCTGGTTCTCTGGGATGTCCAGCAGTCACCATTTGGCTATTACTGATTAGGCACCAGATCCTACCTGTTTCACAGACTCTGTCCCTAAGAGGGTCACCTTGAATATGTTCAGATGAAAGAAAGCCTTGCTGCCATTCCCTCCCTAACCAGCAGGAGAATAACCTCCATGGTGGGTACGCCAGGTCCTGACTCATACCCTTAGTCCTCTAACAGAGCTCTAATTTTGTTTTGGAAGGGGCTGTCCCTAGATTCCTGGCCATCCTAGCAGACGGTAGCCATCTGACCAAGTTGCGGCCAATGAGGGGTAAGCGCAAATTACTGGAGATTGCATCGGGTTCCAGAAAGGCTCCTTAGAAAGGGGCATGACTCAGCCGGGAGTCCTTTAGTCCCACCCTCTTCCTCCTTTCTGCCTAGAGCAAAATGACAGCGTCTGGAACCATGAGGTAACCTGGAGGATGAAAGTCACAAACTAAGAATAACTGGGGAAAAAATGGAAGGAATCTGAAACAGACCCACCCACATCCCTGCTTTCTGTCCAGCAAAGCAGGGGCCATGGGGGATGGGGGGAGGTGGGGTGGGAAGATGCACTCACTCATTCGTGCAGTTAACATATTGTTAACATATTGAGTGCCTACAAGTTTGGCACCGTTCCAGGCGTTTGGACTCTATCACTGTTTAAAACAAAGATCCTGATCCTCATGGTGCTTACATTCTAGCTGGGATAGTAAATAACTATACATGCTGTGTCCTACAGCGCTAGGGGAAAAGTAGAGTGGGAGGAGGCAGATGTGGGATTGGAAAGGACAAATGTGAACCCATGGTGACAAGAAAACGTGACATGCCTGTTTCCTAGAAACTGGGGTTTGGTTGTGCCCAATGTCCAAGCACTTGGTAACATGTAAGAATACTAAAGGGAAAACATCAGGGAACATAGCTGTTTGCTATCACATTCCAGCCACACACCAGTATGGTTTCTCGACAGGAAGAAATACATTAGGCAACCTCCTGTTGCACAATAAATGTCCCTTATACAAATGTTGTAACCCCATGAGCTGAAGCCTCCCTGCCAGACAGCCTGTGTCAAGAACAGGTCAGAAAGGAGGGGGACCTGTGGGTACATTTTGTTATTTTCATAAAGTATTGTTCTGAGACAATTTTTGTCTTCTCCACAAAAAATAAATAAATAAATAAATAAAAATAAAAATAAAATAAAATAAAATAAAATTCCTAAAGCAGAAGATTGGGTGCTAACATGGAAAATGTTATTATTTATAGGCTCATGTTATTCTACAGGACCATGCCTACCACCTTCACATCTGGTTACCATCTTAACCGTTTGCCACTGTTCCCTAACTCCTTTTTTATGCTGAAATTTACTTGAAAGCTAATTATAGCACTTACACAGGTCCCAGGGCCAGTCACTGGTCTCACTGGACTCTCACAGACCCGCAGGGCAGGTACTAGCTGTAGGCTCATTTTACAGATGAGGAGCCTGAGCCCAGAGAGGTTAAAGATTTCCCCAAGGTCACAGAGCTACTACAGGGTAGAGTCATGGTCTGAAACCAGGCTGCCTGATCAGAATCTCCATATTGGTTAAAAAGAGGATAGCTTTTCTCTAGTGTATAGTACTTAGGGACTGGGTTGTTTTTCTCTTAAAGAATGAGATGCAAGAAGAAAAAATGAGCTAAGAAATCTTTAAACCCACAGGTATTTATGTACCCACAATACTCATTAGTTGTATAAATGTAAAAACGCTAATGTCTCATGCATGGTGGGAGTCAAAAAGTCAGGATCTTAAAAATGATCTTAAAAGAAAACAAGAAGTGGGGGGCCTGGGTGGGTCACTCAGTTAAGCGGCCAGCTTCAGCTCAGGCCAGGATCTCCATGAGTTCGAGACCCCTGTCAGCCTCTGTGCTAACAGCTAAGAGCCTGGAGCCTGTTTCGGGTTCTGTGTCTCCCTCCCTCTCTGCACCTCCCCCGCTCACGCTCTAGCTCAAAAATAAACATTAAAAAAAAAAAAGAAAGAAAACAAAAAGTGACTGCTACTGGGTACAGGATTTCTTTTGGCTATAATGAACATGTTCTAAAATTGACTGTGGTGATGACTGCAAGCTCTGTGAATATACTAAAAATAACTGAAGTGTACATTTTAAACAGGTGAATTTCTGGTACGTGAACTGTATTTCAATAAAGCTGTTTTTTAAAAAATCGACAAGACTAGCCAGGCAATGAGGAGGAGTGTAAATGGACAAATGGGGTGAGGTCCCCTAGGGAGACTGCTGGCTGTGCCCCCAAATTCACAGAAGCTAGCGTATCTTAGGTTCAAAGATCTCATTTTGTAAGTTTACAAAGACCAATCTAATGCATGTCTTGGACAAGCTGATAAAGATTTACCAAATGATTACTGACTTATCAACTTAGAATGAAAAACTTCTCAGCGGAAAGAGATACTCAAGTCTGCTGGTGAACTGTCTCCATGTACGCAAATTTCACCGTGGGAGGCAAGTGATCCCAGGAAGGCCGTGGGCAGGGTTCTCGGTGAATCAAAAAGGAACATGTATGTGGAGTGCTCAGATGGCGAGCTCGGAGCCTGACACAGTGACCAGCTGGTGAGGGGTGGCTCCAGGATGGTGAGGACTACAGGATGGACCCCACAGAAGGGCAGGCTGTGTTACCTGCATCGCAGAGACACTAGAGCCCGGGCCTCTCAGTGGGCCTCGACAGCCTGGAGTCCAGCCCAGGGTGCCGTCTCCCAGCACCGTCACCTCCACCACCTGCCTCTCACGCTGTCCTTCCTCTTTGGCTTCTATGGCTGCTCAACCCCTTCTTCTGAAGGAGAGGTTCTTTCTTTAGAGCTACATCTTGAGAACCAGAAGCCACTCACTCTTTTCAAGGGTAACAGACCCACTTCCATTCTGACCCACTATTTTGCGGGTTTGCTACTGGATTCTTACTGGCAATCCGATTCCCATATTCTCGGGAGAAGCCTTGCAGAGGACACCAAGTACTAGCAACAAAACCCACAGCAATACACGAATTACAAATCATTCTTTGTTACTCCACAACTTTAAGTTACGGTGTTTCTGCAAAACTGCATTTTAGAAATCAAGTTTTTTTCCCCCCATTCATTCAAAAAAATGCATTTACTGACAGTCTGCCGTGAGTGCTGGGCACCATTCCGGTGTTGGGCATACAGTGGTGAACACAGCGGTCTAGATCTCAGCCCAGGGATAAGTGAACTTAAATCCTTCAGTGATCTCAGGTAACAATAAGTGCTTTGAAGGAAAGAAGAGAGGCTGATGGGGCAGAAGGAGTGGCAGCTTCAGAGAGGGTGATCAGTTCAAACAGGGATACCTGAAGATGGGGGCGGGCAGGGCAGGGAAGGGACAGGAAGTGCAAAGGCAACAAGAGTACGCATGGCACTTTCAAGACAGAAACACTGCCTGCACACTGGGTGGCAAACAAGGGGGAAAGAGGTGTAAGAAGGGGATAAAGAGGTGGGCAGGAGCTGGTCACACTGGGCCTCGGAAGCCACGGGGCAGTGAGGGCACAGATTTCATTCTGAATAGGATACAATGGGAAATTACCAGAGAGGGT